CTCAGGCAATCCACTCACCTCAGCCTCCCAAAGGTGCGGGATTACAGGCTGAGCCACCGAGCCCGGCTTCTGTGAACTTTTATGTCTAAATAAAATGTCTCATTGAAATAGAATTTTATAGTTCAGTGGGTGAAAAGCTTGCATTTCAATGATTATTTAGCATCTTAATGCTACACAGAAGAACATGGCTGTTGAAATGATAATCCTTTCTATACTAATATAGGAAACTGCTGAGAGATATTTTCACACATGACTATGTCTGGATAGGAGGGTTGGTATGCCTACCTTAAATTTTTTAAAGCCAAAAAAGAATTTACAGCCTGGGTAACATGGTGAGACACCCATCTCTACTACGTCAAAAAACTAGCTGGGTGTGGTAGCACACGCCTATAGTCCCAGCTACTTGGGAGGCTGTGGTAGAACAATCACCTGAGCCCAGGAGGTTGAGACAGCCATGAACTGTGACCGTGCCACAGCACTCTAGCCTGAGTGATAGAGTGATACCCCCCAATTCAAAAAATAAAATTTATTTTCTGATTACAAAATTCAACTGTAATTGTCAAAAATTAATCATAAAAAATTAAAGCCGGGCTCAGTGGCTCAGCCTGTAACCCCGCGCCTTTGGGAGGCTGAGGTGAGTGGATTGCCTGAGCCCGCAGGTTCGAGACCCGCCTGGGCAGGCAAAACCTCATCTCTACAGTAAAATCAAAAAATTAGCTGGGCGTGGTAGCGCACGCCTGTAATTCCGGCTACTCGGAAGGCTGAGAGGCAGAAGGATCGCCGGAGCCCAGCAGGTCGAGGCTGTGGTGACCGGGAGTGGCCACTGCACTCCAGTCTGGGTGACAGAGTGAGACTCCAACTCAAAAAAAAAAACCAAAAAAACCAAAAAATTAAAAACAGTAATAAAACAAGATTACCTACAATTCTTCCACATAACCAACATTAACATCTTGGCAAACATCATAGTTATTTCTTCCTACATGTGTCTATCTCTAGTATATTATAGATACAAGATCATAATCAATATACAATTGGCTCATTTAACTTATTGCATATTTGCTTGTAGGTAAAATCACTGCACACGGTTCCAAAAGTGGACAAGTTGGGTCCACATTGTGTATACATATGTAATAAGAAAGCCACTTAAGAATGGAAAAAGCTTCCCAAACCAATGATTTATGTAAATCTTAGGGGAGTGAGATATTCCTACCTATGCTTAGATGCAAATCTTTTTTTTTTATTCTTGAGTTGGAGTCTCACTCTGTCTGGAGTGCAGTGGCACGCTCCTGGTCACCGCAGCCTCAACCTGCTGGGCTCCAGTGATTCTTCTGCCTCAGCCTTCCAAGTAGCCGGAATTACAGGCACGCGCTACCACACCCGGCTAATTTTTTGATTTATTGCAGAGATGAGGTCTTGCCAAGTTGCCAAGGCGGGTCTCGAATCCGCGGGCTCAGGCAATCCACTCACAGCCTTCCAAAGCGTGGGATTATAGGCTGAGCCACTGAGCCCGGCTTAGATGCAAATCTTTAAAGGTTCCTGCCTGTATTTGTGAAGTATTGATGACCTGTTGATTTCTCCAATACGTAAGGAATGTATGTAGATGAGAAAAGTTTACCATAGCTGAGATCTTCAGTAAGTACCATCCTCAAAAGAATGAAACACTTGGCATTTTCTATAAAGGAGCCATACTGGACTGGCAGCAGGAAGTCGAGATCCCTGCCTTAGCTCCACCACAAATAACCTGTGTGCCTGTGGGCAGGTCAGTGAAACATGACTGACCCCACATCACCCATGGCTTCAGATACATGTGGCGGTTCCAGCTAAGCTCCCTCACCCTCTACCAGTCATACTGACAAGTTTTTTGAGTGTAAAATGTATACAGAGAAGTGCACAAACTATCAGTGTACAGCTTGCTGGATTCTCACAAAATGAATACAACCGTGTCACTAGCGTGTGATTGAGACACAGAACCTGCTGGTATAAACATTCTTTTTTTTTTTTTTTTGAGTTGGAGTCTCACTCTGTCGCCCAGACTGG